TCTTTGGTATAATAGCGTATGAATGGCGCCCTCTTGCTAAATTGGAAACTTTTGAACCTTGACCGACGCTTCTATTTGTTACGCGTAAATCGCGGAGAACGCTATCTTGTGTTTATAAGATCTTTGATGTCCAACTACAAGTATAAAAGACGGGGTTATGTTGTCTGTTCTGATTCAGTTTAAAATTTTTGCAGCATTAATTTCAAATATAGTTCATGGGAGGATCCAAAACCATTTGATTCTGGAACAGGGGATAAAATAAATAGCTTTGAAGGACATTATAAAATAATTAATGTTTTATAGTAGTCAATAAAAAGTTTAAGCAACTATAAAATTGAATATTCAATTAAATCATACAAGAAAAGTAAGTTATTTTTTTAAAAGACTTTATAAAGAGGGATAGAAAATTTCATTTCTAAGGTGAAAAATGTCTGTGGCAACCTTTCATAAAAATGATCACTTAATTGAAAGGCATGGGAGTGACAATGAGAAGCAATGACCAAACAAGATTCAAGAAATTGTATTGGTCCATATAAAAATACAGAAAATGTTATTGCTTGGCAGAAGACAAAAACATTATTTAAAAAGGAAAGAAAGTACCATGTCAGTACAGTAATTCACAAAAAGATCAGTAAATAATAAAAACATACAAATGACAATGAAAATACGTTATAAAGGAAAACTCTAAAAAATGTTGAAAGTAACAAAAAAGAAAGCATTTAGGGGTTCACAATTATGAACATTTTCACAAATGGACAAACAGTACTATTTTTCAGTATCCCTCTCTCCCCTCTGAAAGTGTACAAAAAAAAGGTTGATTTGTTGATTTTGCAAACCATTCTCCATTGTTTTGTGAAGTGAACTAAAGCAATGTACTTGGTTGCTTAATAATTAATATTATATCCATGGTTACATTATAATTTACCATTATTTTACATATTGCATGTTAATTTGAATCAACATTTTTTTGCATATGTACAAATTTGTCTACCCCCTCTCACCTAGCGTACTTGTCTGTACACTTGTGAAGATATTGGTAATGTTGAACGACCCCTTAAATGTATTTAAAAGGTAAAACATTATTAAAGTTAAAACTAATAAAAATACTTCAGATGCCAAGATGCAAATGAGTGTTTTAATGAAGCTGGAAGATTTGTTAACTGGTGTGAAGATATGAACTTAATTTTTAATATTACCAAAACCAAAGATATGATAATTAACTCTCGTAAAACTGCAACAGAAAAAAATGCTACAATAAGTTCATAGTTAACTTGACATAACTGATTAATGACCATCAAGGTATGTGCCATAAAAAAAACTGCTCCTCTTTACTTTTTATACAAGAGGTGAGTTGCAGATAATGCCATTCCATTCATATGTTGATTAATCCCTGGGGACTGAAGCAAACAAAATATTGATAATACTTTTGATCAATCAAATGGTGCTACGACAAAGACAGGTTCATTAAAGTCCCACCATGGATATATTATATGGTCCCATCAACAGAACAACCATTATCATCATAAACACATTATTGTGAAGATGACACACTTAATGCAAAACAGCATACCCTATGAATGATAAATAACAAAAACAGCATCTGTTTCACTCACTAGCTAACGTTCCACAACTGCAATTATTCTATACAAAATGCATTAAACACATTTTGTCTGACTAGGTTCTCTATGTGTCTGGGTGTTACAAAGTAATATCAAATTTTGTGCCGAAGGATACATGTAAGATTAGCCGGCGTAAGGATTAAGTTTCCACTATAACTGCACCCGCATCGCCACATTAGAAAACTACTCAGCTCGACGGCTTATATGTAGGATTCTCATTGGCTTTCTGAACATGCAAAATAACAGTGGGAAAGTGATCATCTGAAACGAGTTATAATTATCTATGAGATATGTATGTGTATTGGTTTGAGACATTCCCAGTTGGTGCATTACAAAGCAACACTTGATACGAGACTGAACATTATGGTTACAGTAATGGCCTCACTAACATTAAAGTTACTGTCTGTGTTAAAATCTTTAAAAGAATTGAAAAATTTTCATAGGTGAAGTACATAATGGAGTACTTACTCAGGATGTTTTGCTTTCTATTAGATGATTTTTTTTTTATTAACTCTGTCTTATAATATATTTATATAGTATTTACAAATAAATTTTCATCCACACAATATCAAAGCTAATTTTGATTTTAATATAGAATTATTACTATAAAAATGTTTAATTATTCACCATCAAATGGGGCTTTGAAAAGAATGCCAACAGTATCATTGATGCATCTGTTAATTGGTGGGGACGGGGGTGGATTCTTATCAATTTTTTCATTGAAAACTAATAACCAAATTTAATATAGTGTACAATGTAAGCAACTAAAATATTTTAATGTTATTGTTTGAATTTATTAGCACCACACTGACAATTACGCCTACAGTTTACAGTAGCGTAATTAAAGATGTAGGCCTACTATCAGTCAAAAAGTTAGGAAAATACCTAAAAAATTCAAATACAATTTTGAATAGCTTATTCGAAATTATCAAATATATTATTAGCTTCCAACAAGAAACAGATCGAAAAAAGTTTGCTACAAAAATCTGTAAGTTGATTACCAGCCAAAGTAAGGATCCATGCAAAAGAATACAGGAAATATGTTATTTAATTGTCCAAACATTTTAAGTTATAACTTACAGTAATTGAATACACAAATTAAGCAAATCAAATATGGAATTAACATTTTCAATTTTTTTACCTCGTGGCTGATAGTACATTGTTTTATTATTAACTGTTACAGTACAGTATGTTCATATGAAAATTTTACTTAGTGAATTTTTATAATTATTTACAGTAACTAGGAGCTGGTAAATTTCAAGTGAAACATGTTTTACACATTGATGAGTAAATTAAAATGTATTATAACTACTATTACTTTTATCATCATTTTCATCATTGAACCATCATTAATATTTTATCTTATACATGTCTCACTGTCAATACAGATTTGGATATTGACTTATGGAAATCTCAACTGTTTATCATCGAATAAAATCTCAGCTGTGTTTATCGTTGTATGGAAGCTCAATTGTGCTTATCGTCTTGAACGTATGGTATTAGTTTTGTTTTATCTGATTATGTTTTGTCTTTCTCGCTCAACTGTGAATTGCCCGCTAATTACAGGGGAAAAAAAACATATAAAGCTCTCAGGAAGCCGAGAGTAGAAGTTGATGGTTTTTAGTCGTGAGAGAGGATCTCGGCAGCCTCAGGTATTGAAGCATGGCTTAGAGACCATGACCACATTCAAGATATATAATGTCTGCAGTAAACCATTAAAAAATTCAATTGAAACATTGGATTGGTCATGAAAAGATCAAAATCAACTTCTTCAACTTAACTATAAAATTCTTTAAGTATGTGCTATGTATCATTATAGTAGCATTAATATTTATTCATCCTTTAATTTGTGGAATTTGTTTGCATTTTTAATTTTGAAAGCTACAGTATGATAATTTAATAATAATATAAATATAAATTACCAAGCAATATATCATGTATTCTGAGGTTGTTTTCTAAATATCTTTCCAACCCTTTAGTCATTCGATTTGATAAATATTATATTGATATTTTATACTATGAATAGATTTTACTGTGGATTTTATGTTGTTTTGTGAATAAAGAGAATTAAATTGAATCTCCTCAAATATGATAATATTGATAAATCTCTCCAATTTCAATTTAAACACCAATGGTGGGCTCCTGGACAACAAACAAATTGTTATGCCATTAGCTATCCTCTGTGCAAATGATTAATTGATTGATTGATTGATGGACTTCACATCCAATCTGTAGGTTTGGTTCAAAATCCATAAGACAAACATGGGATTACAATGTTTTCTGAATAAATTCACCTTAAGTCCAACTATAAACATAAAACCTGACGGCAAATATCCAGACTGTCTGATGAGAGATTTAACTGGACAAAACATTGCCAACGGGGTACGATAACATCTACGCGAGAAAAATCCTTCATACGAAATGACACCTCTGAGAGAACAGCATTCATCATGCAGTATAGAGTTTAGAGTACATAATAAATTCCAGGCAGGCATTATAACAGAAGGTTTGAGAGTGATTTTAATCATATAACTGGATTTAGCCACCTGGGCTGTTTTCATAATCAAAACCACTCTGAGCTTACTTGATTACTCGGCTGTATATGATACTCCTCGTAAACATTGGACATGTAATATAGTAATTTGTTTAAGTCTATAAACTGGAACCAACTTTAAAAGCAATAGAAGGTTGGTTGACATGACTCAATTATGGAAGATCATATTCTGAATAATGAACATACAATCAATCCTCAAAATGACGAGATGTTAAGTTGGCCTGCTGTAAAGTTTTAAACGTGTGCTGACCAAGGGAATTTCTGTGCACTGCATATTGGAGAAAGCTGTTAGACGGGCAACAAACAATCCACTGATGCTGTCACTGGTGATAGAGTAGCATGGCACAATGTACTGCTCAATGGCTGCGCACTTGTGTAGCGCATAATATATAAAAATAGAGTTAAGGAAACAAAACTTTAAATTCAAAATATTTCTACTTTATTTTTCTAAAGAAATGTACAAACATACAAATACAACAAGCTCTTTCACATCGTCATAGTACTACCATCTACACATGATTCAAATAGTCACATGCAATCTTTTTAATATAAGTTTTAATAAATAGTCATGTAACTCAACTTCTAAAAACAAGCAGGCTTCATTAATATATCATCAGGCCAAGCTGTCTAAAATGACTCACAATTTATGACTTCAATCAAATATGCCCTAATACTAAAAAAATGCGTAACGATACCGTACAATAATTTACATAAAGTGTCTCAGAGCAAATACTTTCCAAACAGTTGAATTTTTATCCAGGTTGTAAAGCATCCTTAAAATCAAACCACGACTTTAATTAGGTGTTGATAAATGACGTTCCTCTATCAAAATTTAGAGCAACGTTGGTAAGAAATGCAAAATAGATCTGGGTCATAGCACTAGGGATCTTCACAAGGCTGTTAGCGCAAGCTTTCACCAGTCAAATATGCGTCACTCAACCATTAGATAAAAGTAAATGGGAAACTTTAATCTTTCAGATTAAACATAAAATGTTTTTGTTTATCTAATATATGAATTGCTTATATAATTTAATAAAGTTATCTTTTATTTGAATGAAAAAAATTTGTCCCACTAACTCAATCTACATAATATAAAATTACTTTTGCATGGACCCATTAAACATTAGTAATCAAATAGAATTTTCTTACTAAAATGTCATTATTAAATAAGTAAAAATATTATCTTTCTCATTGGAACACCTTATTTGATTTTTTTATGTGATCATTTCAATGTGTTACTGTCGAGACTAATTTTATTTGACAAAAAAACTGTTGTATGCTTATTTAATTATATAGTCATGATGTTCTTATATATGGTCATGATGTGATGTCATCATGACCATATTTAGGCATGTCACATGTTATGTCATATGAAATTTGATAGTCTGTGCAGGGCTTTATCATTTTTTTTCCCAGGTTTTAAACACAGCAGTATATCTACAACATTGGCTTAAAGAAGCATATTACCACATTGTATCATGTAACATGGCGTAATGCATAATAAATAATGCATATCAATAAAGTTGAGAAATGGTTTAAGATTATATCTACGTGGCATATCAGACTTCAGAACACAGTGTCCAGAAGTATCATGTTTTTAATATTCTTATCTTCTATCTAATCTTGTTAATCAATCAGTTGTATAAATGTATATTGCAGAGAGCTAGTTTCCACCAGTTAGTGTTGTAGACTAATGCTAATGTACAGAATGCTAATGTACAGAATCGAAAACACAAAAACGGAGAGAAGCAGCACCACCAAGGGTGGGGTGTGGTGGGGAGGCATGTGATGGTTAAGGAGGGATATTTCCCCCATAGGACAAGCATTGTCTGATGCTTCTTACTTTTCAGAATAAAAATAATGTGCTGGAACAACAAAGTTATTGTGAGCAGCTACTAATGTCTGTATAATACAGTAAAACCAATTTATATGAGTTTTAATGCACTCACAAATGAGAAAAAAAACATACCACAGAATCTAAATACTGTATCAACAAAGATACAATTAAATATCAATTTTTTTCTACAAACTTCTATATACAAATATCAATTACGAATGCTTTCTTCTCATTCTAGTTACAAACAATTCATATACACACTCAGCAGATGCGTTTCGACAGCCAGTGATAAATGTTTCACGCTCGGTAATTCACTGAGTGTAAGAAAACATTGTCAGTTTGGCCAGCAACTACTTAAAGAGAAGTCCTTTTAGCTTAAGTAGAATAGCATTCTCTGTCTCAAATCCTCTGTGATTTCTCACACAAATGCTTGCCTCTTTTTAAGTACAAGCTAAGTACTTCAATATAGAATTTATCAATTAAGTTTAGACAGATAAAAAGACAGGGAAAAAAAATACACAACAGTTTAAATTATCTGAATAGAAAATACACAACAAAACCAACATCAGTGGCATTTTTAATGGGTTTTCAAGGGGAAAGGATAGACGGGACGAGGAAAGGACAGAGGGGAGAGGGATGTGTCAAGGATTTACTTGATTTTAGAGATTGTTTAGATTTTAATCCATGTACCTAAACATTTTACAACAGCATGGGAGGGATGTGGAAATGAAGAACTTCCCTAACCCCCAGAAAAACCTTTTCTACACCTTTGAAACACAACTAAACCTCACACATAATAGCATTTAAATATCATCAGTGCACATTTGGATACACACACTTTTAACAAACTTTGACAAACGATTAAAGACAACTTGCACACAGCTTCTATGAATCTGAATGTATACAACAACAAACATTCATTAGACATTAAAAACCAACCTTCAAACATGCTATTAATCACATGTTTGATGGGCTTAAAACATCACAACATGACAAACTTGAAAAGACAGATGGATTCTACAAACACATTAGTCCCTGCTCTAATGTTCTTAATATCAAGTAGCTAATGATTCTCTCAAATGTAAACACAATGCCATAAGCGCATCCATAAGACATAAACAACAATGATAGAAAACAGTATATACAGTAGTTTATACCTATATATATTTTTCTTACATAGAGCTAAATGTTACCAACTCTATCCTAATACCGCTAGTAAAGTTTAACAATAAAGAGCGTACAACTCATTAAACGTTTATTTATAATACGGTCATAATACTGCATTGTGGTATGTTTTGTATTTGTTGGTTTTAAATACTTTGGTTTTTTTTTATTAATTAAAATAGTTTGTCAAGAGTTGAAACATAATGTATGTAAGTAATAGGACTATCATTAATTGGATTTAATTAATAAATAATGTGTAATATTTATACTATTCAAATAAATATGCCTTTATGAAAATCAGAATTCCATAGAAGTTCATCGAAAAATGTTGTATAACCTAAGTCTCTCTGATTCTATGGGAGTGGAGTTGTTTTTAGTAAAAAAAAATCTGGGTACCTCACAGGATTTGAACCCAGGACCCTGTGATAAAAGGCAAGTATCTTAACCACTAAGTTACAGCTCTACAGATTATGTTATTATTGTACATTTAAATCATTTAAATTTATTTTGATTTTAAATATAAACCATCATAAACATATCAATCCCACATCCTAACCAATGATTAATAATTAATTATTCAAAGGATCTAACTTATAAAATTTACTATATTTAATGTTTTAAATAAGAACTTCAATATTTATTATGTTCAGTATATGAAATACATTATTAAATTCAAAATATAGTTTACCTATAGGCATAGATTTGTAGGTCATTTCGTATGTTGTCCCAGAAAATAAAAGAAAACTCTTGATTTATATGTGCCCAGCCAGAGGGAAGCATTTGTCAATATCCAAGTGTATTAAGATGCCATTGATATAGGTTACAGACAAGCTTTAAATCCAATGCAAGACCTACATGATCAGAATAAAAAGCTTTTAATCTAGAAAATCAAACAACAGATATCACAATTAATTATGAAAATGAATGAAAGTATTGAAAGTAGTCATTTTAAATCCACAAAATCTTTACAAGAAATTATCACAATTGTATAAATTAGAGATTTAAGAAATCATAAAAGAAACAGGGCAACTAAAAGCTGGATTAGAAAAAATATGTTCTCATTGAAAATCTGTTAATAAATTAAAAGATTTTGAAATTAATTGTAGATTTATCATATTTGAGATGAAATCAAAGGGGGCATTCAATCCAGCAGTGCAAGCTTGCACAATAACAATAAACAAATGAGGATAATAACATGGTGTGAGTCAATTTTATAGGGCATATTGTAAGGACTCTTAATGAAATATTTAGAAATGATCTGTTTTAGTGCAATTAGCATTAAAATGAAAGCTTAAAACATCAAAATAATACTTGTACCCAAATGAAATCCAGGATAAAATGGCGATTTGTCATCTAAAGTAGTGAATCAACATGAATGAAAACTACTTAGTAATTGCTGCTTTATTAGTTTTCTTTATAGATGGCGATTTAAAAGTCCCACAATTGATATACGATTGCAAATTGCAAGTTATGATTATTTGTTATTCAGCTTTGATTGCATTGCATCAATCGACTCCACATAGCATACTAAAGATACATTCATGAATATTGGCAAATTTATGAATATTGATTTAAAAGCTTATCTGCTGTCAATAAAATTTATCAATAGCAAGTATGTAGAATGGCATTACTGAGCAATGCATGACAGAGAAAAGCAAACATGTTAATTTGGTTCATCTGGCAAAATACTTAAAAGTTGCTTGTAGCTGGGTTCCAGAGAATAAATGATGCAAGAAATTCCATATTTATTATTTATCTTGCTGGAACAAACTGTTCCAACCTTTATGTCAAAATGTTTATTCAAGACAGCTACGGTTAATGACCAACACCAGTAGTGGATCCAGGGATTCAAACTAGAGGGGGTGGGGGCCGGGGGAATCTTTACAGATGGAGGGTCCAGACGACCTCAGCTCCACCATTATTCTTTATGGATTTGCATTCAGTTTCATTAGCTTAGATAGATGAGTAACAGAAAGCAGACTATGGATGAATCAGGATGAATTGTAAGCTTTAAATAAACTAGTTGAAGATAATTTTTTATTAAAAGAAAAATCAGTTTTTTACTTTCATATTTCCATAAAATAAACAATTTGATTTAATAAGTGATTCATTGAATCAATTAATGAATCACTTATTTATTAATAATTTGAATATTCCATAAAGTTTTCATTTCAAATGCATTGTATCTACATATTATACTGTTCTCATACCATTTTTCTAGATATTTCTGAATGAATTTCTGTTGCTTAAAATCATTCTTTAATGTAGTTTAAATTCCTTCGTATTTCTCTCAGCAGTTTTCTGTTTGCTATATTGATATTTTATCTAAGTGTCACAGAAGCAGACGAGTTTCTAAATTGCGATTTCCGCAACATGAATAATCTATGACGGTTGCTTAAAACAGACACTATGCGATAACGCAAGAGTACCAAAATAACAAGTGAAGGCAAAGCAATTCAGTATCGAGGGATGACAAATGAATATTGCCTTTGAACATGTATTCTATACATTTCAATAAATTCTCAAATGAATTTTATGAACTTCAGTAGGTGTCTGTGGATAGCCAATTACGTTGTACCATGCGTGACTTTGAAATTGAAACACTTGTATTATTGTCATTGGTATGTGAGTCAACAAACACATATCATGGTTTTGAAGAGAGATAGATCAGTTACTATATCAATTTTTTTTCTAGTCTCCTCGTAAGTTAAAGCTTTTCTGTCTGTGGTTAGATATGAACATTTTTTTTAATGTCAGAAACTTAAGTGAAATTATGTTTATTACTTACGGTACATAAAAAATCAAATAATTTATCACCTTTCCATAAGTCAGTTCATAGTTTGAGCTGCACATGCACGTATCTTTATACTGGGGCATGCACAGTTCAAACTACTCAATTTTTGATGGTTTACAAAAACCTTAAACTGATTACCAGCCAATTTAAGGGTCTATGTAAAGCACATGCTCTAATTTTCATTTGAAAGGTAACATTCAAAATCTTCTCTTTTCTAGCAAGTAATCACACTTTTATCAGAGTGAACATTTAAACTAAATTTACTATCAAATCAAAATACCATAGATGCCCAACCTACAAATATTTTAAAAAGTCTATTTAAATTTAGCCACTAGGCCTTATTGTTAGACTTCCAAGTAGAGTATGGTGGTTATTATTAACTAAATATTAAATTTTGTATCATGTTGTTGCTTTCCTTCTTGCAATGTACATCAATCCAAAATTTAATTTTGAATTTAGCAAGTTCTGAAATTTTGTTTAATGGTGATAAACATTTCAGACAAAGCAGATTCTGCCATCTGGTGTACACAGTGACTAGGTTGTCATGCTAATGTTTATAACACTGTTTATATAAACCATATATACTGTATATATATATATATATATATATATATATATATATATATATATATAAACCTTCTGCATTTCATCGACTACATCCTTGAAACTGAGTGTTAGATAAATCTGCATCATAAATTGTAAGCATTAAGAATGTGCTACGATTGCTTGCGCTTACTAGAAAGATTCAAAAAGATTTATTGACAGATTTCACTTCTAATCAGATTTTTTTCTCTCGAAGCTGCGTCCGCAATTTACGAGGTTGACTTAATCACAGCGGAGGACTTTAGTTTAATCAAACAAGTATGACTCCGTAATTCTGACTCAGAAATCAATAAAAATGGAATCTGAATCCTGCCTCATTCCCTCAAAATAACTTGCACATAGGGTTTTTTTTTTTTCTTAGTTTCATTTCATAGGAATGTAGTGTTGGTTGGCAATTCCCTCTGAGTGCGCCCTCGTGCTTCAAAGAGCTCTCGTATCAACGCTGATTTTTCCTGGTTAAGTTTAGTTATCATTTCACTTTTCTGCGACACCTCCTATAAAAAAAAAGATTATATTTTAGTGACAAAAGAAAAAAAAAAACCAGTCAAATAAGATCTGCAAATCAGTACAAAGTAAATTATTCTCTGTCATATTAACATAGATGTTTTCATATGAAATACTACTGGATAATAAATCATTTCAACACTATTTCTACCGGTACTTGAAAAAAAAAAAAATATTCTCCATGATTGAGTGAAAGAGAAAAAAAAATGCTCAAAAGTCTATGATGTAGGTCTCTGTATACATCATGCATTCACACAAAGAGTCAAAACCTGTAATCAGGTCTCCAGGAGAAATTTAATACGAAAAGAACAGGCGACACAAACAAGATGGAACTCCTAGACATGACCTTAGGCTTACATCAATAATTTGTCAGATGTATTTTTTTGTACAATTACATTGCAGAAAAAAAAAAACTCACTGAATGACATGTAAACATAAATGAATAGAGAAACTGTTAAGTTTTTGGTTTTCTGTTCTCTCATATTTTAACCGCTTTTTCTCCTTGTATAATTTTCCTCCCATTTTTCCCTTTTTTCCAAGCACTCCTTCAAATTGGCACATTGACAAACTTTGTATAATGCACCTTATAAGTCAAGTTTGGATTGAATTGGACATATTTTATTTAAGTAAGTAAATAATATTATTAAGTAAATTAGTAATGTTACACTGGCAAGTTGCTAATTGTCTTGTCCGACTGAAATCGTGAATTGTTTTGATGTCAAGTGTTGATAACAGTTGTACATTAGTTAGCTTGTTGATAAATGGAGCAACTCACTAAATTTATCCCCAAGAGGATACAGCATAGATCATATTTTATATACTTCCATTTTTTTTTATATTTCCGACACATCCAACAGTAAGTAAACTTACGGGATGGACCGATGCTTTATAAACCAAATGTCTTATTGGGCCCTAGGAAGTGGTGATTTAATCGTGAGAAAAATTCTTGCTGTGACAGGAACTGAACCTAGAACCATGGCATTAGAAGGCAAGCATCTTAACCACTAAGTTATTCAACTCCACTCACAATACAATCCAGTCAAGTCATTTTTTTGTCTTCTTTGAGAATATCCATATAGTTCAGGAAAATATACGATGCAACCTAAATTGGCATGAACCCAGTTCTGTAAGTACTCTTTTTAATTAAAATAACCTACGTTTGTAAGTAGCCTGTTCTGCTGCCTAAGTTGGTTAACTGTACCACTGGCAGGTGATGTCACCTTGAGATCTACAGCTAGGTTCATGTGATCTGGAAAACCCTGCAGGACAGTTAAAAAAAAAAAAACATTTTCAAACATAAATATCTTCCTACAGAAATCTGTTCTCTTCCCTCCTTTGTTCACAAACATTAAATAACTTTTCATAAACTCTTTAAGGACCAACATATATCATTGAAAGTTGATATGAATAATTTTATTTTTTCAAAGTTACAACTGGATTTTTAATGATTTTCACATTTTGCTATAGGCAGGACAGTACCTTTAAATATAAATTCTACTCACAATAGTAAAGTGGAAAAAAAACTAGTACAGCAGAATTCTTTAATTAAGAAGTGAGAAGACAATGAAGAGGAGACAAAGATGATGTCTATAATGTTGCGCATAATTTTAGTTATTAATTTTGAGAAACCTTTCCCATTGTTTGGATTAATGATGATGTTCAGTAATTAAATTCCACAGTACAGTAGGCCTATATATCACTCAGGCTGATTTTTTTTTTGGTTGAAATTCTTGTCATGATATTCGCTTTAATGTTTACGCATTGCCACAGCGTTTATGTTTCCCACAAGTCTCATTACGGGACGGCTCCAAAACGATATCATGCAAAGAAAAACTACTTAGCAATAGATAAGAGTAATGAGTACCATTTCTGAGCTCTGTACAAGCGTGGTTAGTTGCAAGTTGATATCCTGGATTCTGGCACGTTTGTAGGCGGCTTTCTCTTGCCTGGCTGGGTTGATAGTGTCCGATCTGTCTAGGATCATTCGGTTGTTCATCTGCCGGGAGATTAGATTAAGCTCCTTCTGGTACCAGTCTTTGGTTCGCTCTATGACCTCTAACCCTTGAAGGAGAATGTCTCGTTCTTGTTCTATTGCTTTCATCCTCTTTAACTGTTGGTAAAACATACAAAATTGTAATCATTAACATAATTGTAGACAATATAATGTTAATCTAAACTTTTTCTTGTTTATGTTACCATATCTATTGAATTGTTTGAAGTATCATTTCTATCCTTATTGAGGTGAAATAAATGAAAACAAAATTAAATGATAAAAATGGTTACTAGGAATAATTTCATTAAATTGAAAATCAATCAGGGTAAGTGTTCCTGAAACTATCTCAGTGTGAACTTATTAATTTGATCTTTTTTTTAGTTATTTATCACTATTCAAAATTGTGTTCTTAGTTAATTCTACCAGGGTGAGTGATACCAGATCTGTCTCTCACTGGTAGTCATTAACTTATTTGATCCTTGTTATTCATCATTATTCAACGCTGTGTTCTTACTTAATTCTACCCAGCTGAATGTTACCATGGAGGCATGATGTTAACAGATCGCATTCATATAGTCACTAACTTTTGGATACGTTTATTTCATCATTATTCAACAATGGTGTTCTTAGTTAAATCTACCACAGAATGAGTGTTGCCAACGTTCTGCCTCTTTCTGGATGGCGGCATGTTCTGTTTTGATGAAGCTAAGAACAATGTCTACTTCCCATTTTAACCAGCCGTTTCACATTTACCATTGACCCTGATACTAGTTAGGGGGTCAACCATAGCATCTAAAAGTCTAGTACAAAATATAGACGTAACTTCCACATGCTTCGTACTGAACATATCAGACAATAATTAAAACAACCTTACCAAGAGAAAACACATGAAAAAAATGCAAATTGTTGTACAGTATACGGTATTCATATTCTTTGGGGAAATAAGAATCGATAAAATCCTCCAAATTCCAAATGCTTTTTTTTTTTGTACAGGTAATTTTAGTTGCCATTTTGTTACTGCCTGGGGCAGTCCCGATTGTGTAATTGCACTATAAATAGAATGCAGTTGCTTTAAATTGCCAATAATATGGTAGAGTAAATTCTAACACCAATGTATCAAAATTGGTTTTGCTAGGGAGCACATTTTGCTAACAATAGAATACGATATAAAAATTCTAACAGACGCAATGTGCAATATTATTGTTTTTATATTCTCATTGAAACATTTATCTTTTGAAATGCTTCCTTTTTAAAAACTAGTTTCAACATTTTATTATCCATGGTGAGTTGTTGAATATCAACCAACTAAAACTGATACGAAGTATGAGACTTCAATTATTGTAATATGGTATGGTCTAAATTACAATACAGAATCTTTTTAGCATTCTCCACGAAACCCATATCTTTTGAAATAAAATTTCTTTTAAAAACTAGTTTTAACATTTTCAATCTATCTCAAACATGATCTGTATTGTTGAATACCAACCAACAAAACTGTTACAAAGTACGAGACTTGAGGCAATGTTGCCATAGCAACCACTTATCAACAGACATTGGTTACATCAGTGTGCGTAAGAAACACCAGTCATGTTGGATCTATTTCATTCACGAAGGAAACATTAGAGAGTATCGAAGTACAAGACTTTGATGTAGTATGAAAACATAAACCAATGGCCGAGGCTCAACTAGAAACAATGTAACCGCCAAGAGCTCTTTGCATCAAAATATTTCCGGGCTTCAAAATACATAATCAAGCAGAACAAATTTAACAAGCTGTTACTGGGTGACTAATATAGATTTTATTTTGATAACCTTAAACATGTTATACTTTTAAATTGCAATGCATACTGGGGGTGGCAAATATAGTAGATGATAAAACCTTCCGAAATCTGATGGAAAAACAACCATGAATGGTTCTATTGTTAAATATGTAGTTATTATTATTATTATTATAGTATTATGTTTATGAATGAAAAATTTTGTAGCTACACAAGCTTTAGGAAGAAAATATGGAGGGGAGTCAGAATAAAATGAATATGAATAAATTAAAAAGCAAGAGTGATAATTATATTTCAGGGAGTAATCATATCATTTATATTTTATTATTTATTTATTTATTACATTATTTTTAAGAAGGTAACTCTTACAGCACAAAGGTGACTAGAAGAGGCCCTCTGTGTACAGTACAATAATATAATACAAAACAAAATGGTACATGAAACAAAAAAAAAATAAATAAATAAATAAGATACCAGGCATCAGAGAGCAATGGAATTAGAAGAGGATTATTGATTAAGTATGAGGTAGGATTTTAGTTGTAATTTAAAGGATGAGAGAGTAGACCCATTAAAAAATGAGGAGTTCAGGAGAGAAGTGGCTCGATAATGAAATGACTTTTTGTTATTTAATTTTAAAACACTCAACTAGAAGATTAAGATATTTAAATACTACGGTCTGGAGATATATTTTGGTAGACAATTCTAATACCTCCTTGAATCTGTTTACTACCTGCTTGGTAGAACTTATAAATACAATGTTTGTACAGGTTGTTTACCTCCACACTAATGCTTAATCAATGCAAGTGGGTTTATCCAGTCTTGCGGTTCTTGCAAAAATCACAATTGCCCAGAGGATAATAGAGCTGTAAACAAATGATAATGTACAAATACAAAAACAGGTTGTTTTGGAGTTGTGAAGAATGTACCCAGTGCAAAAGTACAGTGGGGCCATGGCGGTAATGATGACTCATTATTAAAGGGAAAATTGTCCCCAGAATACAATAGTATTTAAGTACTACTGTACATAGTATGACTCACCATTAAAAGGATATTTGTTCCCTAAGAACGCAAAATGCTATATTGCACAGTAGGTGCCTAAATACTTTGCACCTAGCACATATAATGCTAATTTGGTACTTGGATAAATTTATATTGCTACTGTATCATCATTAAGGAGGCAGTTGTACGTACTGTATTAGAATATTATGCTATTGCTACATACTGTACAATGTCAACATTTAAACAATTGAATAATGGGTAGTTGTATCTGAAGAACATACAATGAATTACATTAAAGGGACAGTTGTGCAATACAAGAACACAGGAATACACAATATGTACACAATAAAGAGACATTCTCACAAGAACATGTCATAGTCGCAACAATCTAAAATATATGAGATATAATATAGGTAGGGGATTGTCTCTCGGTGTACTGCCCAATCACCACCAGAAGGACCCCACTGGAAATAAGTCTTCTTCTAGACTTTCGTGGGCTATCCTTGGTGTTTACACTGAATAAATCCAATCCAATCTAATCTTATCTACAGTACCTACAATGCATGTAAACAAAAGTAAACATACAGAGAGCTTTAGACATTAATGTTTCAAAGCTTCAAACATCGATGCAAAAAAACCAAAATAAACTATGATGTCATCTTGAGAAATAGTGTACCACTTATGAATGAAAAATACCATTTAAGTATTAGAAATTCCTATTGACACATTGGAATGCAAATCCTAATAAAAATTATGAATACAGTATTTTTCATAGAGGGGTAAGTTAATAGCTTAATTGTTCACTATGACATGTGTGACGACTTGCAGAAAAAATGCTGAAACCAAGATTGATACTACATATACTAGTAAAAATATTTCTTAAATAGGTCATCTCACCCAACAAAACATTATAAAATAGCATTAAATTTCTAAAATTTGAAAGCAGAATATTGCATAAATAAAAACAAATCAATCAAAAATTCTGTCTGTAAGTTAAATTTGTAAGACACATAAGGTGACCATGGACTGCACATAAATTCACACAATTCTGCTGTATTATTATTCTTAGTAAACTGGGGCTAGGTCATATCATTTTTAAAATTTTCCTGTACTTGATTACATGTTCTTCCAAGCTTAAAGCATAAATGGTAAAGGCTTCTCATACAAAATAATGTTCCCTACTATAATTACACTGTACCTCTTATTTAAGTACCCATGTCTATATACATCCTGTCTCTTATACACATCTTAAAAATTCTAACAGACGCAATGAGAATATAA